CATTTTTGTTTTTAAAATCCTCTTTCCATTTTAATATCCATTTTAATTTTTAAAATCCATTTTCATTTTTAAAATCCATTTTCGTTTTTAAAATTCGTTTCCATTTTTAAAATCCATTTTCGGTTTTGTTGACCTTTGAAGTATACGTATATGTGCTTTTCACTTTAAAGCAAATTTTCCATCAGAATTTACTGAAAAATTACTGTTGTTTCCCGCCTATTGCATTAACTTTAACATACTGTAATAATTGTTTTTAAAAAGATTTTCATTTCGATTTGATTAAATGTAGGACAGTGAGAAATATACTTTTAATCTACTATTAGTCTTCTGTCGATTGGCATAAAACATTCGAAAATAATGTTGTGTTTGATGTGACTGTAGCCGATTTGATTACATATATTAAACGCATTTTTTGTGCCAAAAACGTGAAATATAGACCAAGTTTAGGGCGTGGTTTCAGTGTGACAGCACGATGTGCCGCACAATTACTAATAAATGTGTGATCTATTTTAAATTTCCCATCGAATGACATATAACATTCAAAATTAAATTTGAGTTTGAAGTGGCTGCAGCCGATTTGATTAAACGTATTAACGCATTTGTTTGTTCCAAAAACGTGAAATATAGGCTATGTTGTGGGCCGGGCGTCACGGGTTTCAGTCTGGCAGCATGATGTGCCGGACAGTGACTAATATACTTTCAATCTACTATTAGTCCTCTCTCGATTGACATAAAACATTCAAAAATAAATTTGTGTTTGATGTGACTGCAGCTGATTTGATTAAATGTATTAACGTATTTTTGTGCCAAAAACGTGAAATAATGGCCAATTTTAGGGCGCTGTTACAGAGTGACACCATGTTGTGCCGGACAGTGACTGATATATTTTTAATCTACTGTTAATTCTCCATCGACTGATATATAACATTCGAAAATAAATTTGTGTTTGATGTGACTGCAGCCATGTGGAGATAGTGGCTAATTTGCATAACCATTCACTTAGTAAGAGGTTTGCTAATGCTCATAATTTAAATGGTTGTAACAGTTTTAAATTTAAACAATTATCGTTTTGCAAAAAGTTAAATATATTGCCTAATATGGAGATCCCGTAATTACTTTTTTCACCATGTTTCTTTTTGATTATTTATGTACAGCCTTGCTAAATCTTGCTAAGCATTCAAAAGAGAGAATGTTTGTACCAGTTTTCTATATATTAAAATCGTCTTTTGAGTATGTTCCACTATTCACAATGCTGCGAAATTTTAACAGTCTATAGCCAAGACTTTTTAGATAATGAAAAGCCACGAACCTGCATCGATACCTTAAATGCATTTTTGTGACAAAACTTGAAATATTGTCCGAGTTTAGGGCATGGTTAAAGAGTGAAAACATATTGTGCCGTACAGTGACTAATATATTTGTAATAATAAACTATAAACTTTATTGCCATACTAGGCCACCGGCCCATCACAATCTCAAGTTTACATTTCTTGAAAACAATAATAATACATAAATACATAAATTAACTGTAATATAAAATACTGCCCATCAAGAGGTTAATTTTAGTGTCTCTGACCTTAACTTAAAAGCTTGATACAGGAATTTTGACAAATTACAAAGTGTAATGGGTACCTCACTTGTTATTAATTTTATTTAGGTGTGGTGTCCCTGGTCATGTAATGACCAACGTGGTAATAGCTCGTCTCTGTAGGCCTGGTATATGGGACATTCGAAAATTAGATGTAATTCATCTTCAATTATTCCGCTATTGCATAATACACATTTTCTTTCAAAACGATATATATTATGCATACGGCCAGATTCTATTGCTAATTGGTGACTCGAGCAACGAAGCCTTGATAACGATTTCCTATGTTTGTTCACACTTACACTGATAATATATTTTTCTACAGTATAGTGTCGTTTTACCTGGCAGAACAAATTTAGTCGGCTCATAGTTGAGCATTCTTCCCACCATTCCTGTTGCCACATGTCCCTAATTCTTTGTGCAAAATTTGCGAGGAATGTAATTTCATTTCCCATCCCTTGATTGGTCCACACTATCCCAAATCCATACCTATTCAAAATATTTCGAATATGCGTTACCAAGTTAATTTTACCACGTTCGTCTTCCCGTACTAAAAGAAGATACGATTGCTTAGCAATCCTATTTTCTTCCATACATAATAATTTTAACGACCATTTGATACATTTAATATATGTAGTAGTAAAAACTGGGTAACGTTCTAGTTCACCTAATACAGCTAAATTTGGGGTACCCCCTTTAACTCCCAGATATCTTTTACAGTATTTATAATGAACCCGCTCAATACATTCATACTTCTTAAATCTCCAAACTTCAGACCCATAAGTCAGAATTGAATATATCATGAGATCACAAATTTTAAAATATAAATTATATGGCAATTCCCCAAATGTTTTCATATATCTGTTAACAATATGGAGAGCTTTACTTGCTTGGTCTGATACTGTTTCTGTAGCTTTGTGCCAAACATTCCTACTGGAGAAAACGATATCTAAATACTTATAATAAGGGATCACTTCTAAGTTTATGCCATTATATGACCATTTCTCATTTCTCATTTCTCAACAATACCCCCAATTTTGAAGACAATGATTTTGGTTTTTGATAGATTAACCTTCCTTTTCCATTTTTCATTAAATAGACTAAGGACGTTTAGCAGTCTCTGTAGACCTATTACAGTATCAGCAAATAAAACAATATCATCTGTATAAAGCAGAATAAACAGGTCTTTCAATTCCTGTGTAATTTGAATACCCATGTGACCAGCGTTTTCAAGCATTACTTGCAATTCATTTATAAACATAGCAAAAAGAAAGGGGCTTAATACACAGCCTTGCCTGACCCCTACTGGACAACTGAACTGTTCTGTGTCATATATTCCCACTCTAACACATGCTTTAAGGTAGCGAGAAGGTTTTGTGACGTTTTTAAATAAAACATTCTCTGTCTGTTGTCTCGTTCAGAACAGTAATTTAGGTTATATATATCAAAAGACTAAGTATAGAGGTGCAAGTTCGCACAAACTGGATAGACATTGTTTACATAATTATCTCGTGACATCAAAAATGGCGAACCTTGTAAAAATGACTAAGTCTGCGATTGCGAGAGCACACTGCGGAATTTCCTGGTGAAATTTACGTCATGCATTGTCCGTAATCAAGTCCATTGAAATGCGTCTCCGATAATCAAAAGACCTATTATTCCGATTTCTATGCAGGTTTGTTTTTTGTCCCCAAATTATTTCATACTTGGCACCTTTAACAGACTATTATTCTGTGACAAAGCATTTTCTTTAAAAACCCAGACATATTTCGCACC